CATTTCTTACAAGTTGTGATGAATTTCGTCAGAATTTGCTGTTGAGCGATTTGAATCCATGGAAGGTTGGGACAAGTTTGATACTTTGGCTTTTGCTGCTATTGCCATACTGCACGTGTTTCCATAGGTTGTCAAGAAAATGCCAGGAAAATTAGGCAGAGAGAAAGGCCAACATCTTCGACCATTTTTGCTGACGGTACTGGCCAACACATTGTTTGCACAGGAGAAAGTGGAGTTTGAGGAGAAAATTCAAGCGTCTGATAATAGGTATAGCCTTATTCAATCATATGTCTTTAGGTGTTCAGTGCTTTGTAAGCTCCTATATTCCAGCAGCTTATCGTCTATGAGTATGGCAGCCGATTATTGTCATACATTCTACAATCCACTTTTTGGAAATAATTGCCAAGGATGTCGTGTTGCTGAGGAAAATAACGGTGTCATACAAATGTGGACAAGGTAATTGCTGCTGTCATTTCAAAATGAACAAGTATAGAGGACTTACAGAAGCTTAACTGATGGACTTTCGTTGCTCTTTTTTACGACCATGGCTGGCACATCGCAGTTAATTTTGGATATCTTGGCTAGTATCAGGTAAGCCTTAACTCTTTCATTTGTCAGTGTTCTTCCAAATCTTTGTGTATGGGAATCGAATGAAACATTTGAAGTGGAGATTGCTTGTTAAGTATTGTAATTTGAATGAAAAGCCTTTTTGTAGTAGAAAAATTGCACTGAAGAAAAACGGAAATTAGGAAAGTTTACATGTCAATATTTTAGTACTCCTATGAAATCTAGGTAATCCGACATTTTTATAGAATGCTTTGTCGAAATACTATTGATAGTCTGATGAAACATCTGCTGAGAAGAATGTTCGATTCCATACTCAATGAGCGAAATTTCGCAATGTTTCTTCATTTCATACAAACTGCTATCTTCCTTTCTGACGGATCGGTACCCTCTGATCAGGTAAACTAAGCAATTAAATGCATCCTCCAATTACGCTCACTATGTTGTTAGGAGAAAAATCTACGCGAGGAATTGGCGATTAGACGAGTTATGGAATTTGCGCAGGAAGAGGTAATTTAGTTCTAGAGTTAAAAATGGTTCAGGAAGTGATGTCAGTTACATGTTACAGTTACCTTCATCTATATTGCGCACGCTCGACTCGAAAAGCTGGCGTGGAGGAATTAGAAGGCTAGTGAACACATTGCAGTACCCTCGACTCAACAAGCATCTCTCTTATCTTTTGTTAGATTCACTGGTCACAAAGCTTTTCCGAGAATGTGTAGCTTAGAGTGCTTGAAAAATTCACCATGGTCACAGATTGTGGAAGCATAAAGTTATTGATCTCAACAATTTCTCAAACCCATGAAGTATGCGTTTTTAAAGTCTTTAAGCCTCCCTAAAACTTGGGAATATATATATCCAATAACAAAAAAACTTTGGAAAATTTTCAACCTACCCAAAATTCGTGATATCCGTTTTAGAGAATTTAAACTCACTCAAAAATTGGGACATACCTGCTTTAGTAAGATTTTTCAACCTGCTTAAAAATTAGGAATTTCGCTTTGAAAATTCTTACTTTTTACTACCTGAAACTTAGGAATGTAGGAATACCTGTTTAAATTGTTTTTAACCCGCCGAAAAATTAGCGATATCTTTTTTATTAT